GCTCACCTACCATGCTGTGAATGGATCGGGTCCAGCTTACATCCAGGACATAGTGAAACCCTACATCCCAACCCGCACTCTCCGCTCTGCATCTGATAAACTGCTCGTCCCTCCCTCACTGAGAGCAAAACACTCGACTAGATCTCGACTCTTCGCTGTCCTTGCTCTGAAATGGTGGAACGAGCTCTCTGAAGACACCAGGACCGCAGAGAGCCTTCACATCTTCCCCCGCAAACTAAAGACAAACCTCTTCAGACTCTACCTCGACTAAAGACTAACAAAGTGTATCACTTAAATTGTACTTATAACGTCACTCATCTATAGCAAATTGTGAATTGGCTTATTTGAGGAAATTGCACTTTCTTGTTTCTTGTTCTTCTGAGTTTGTACCCTATGGTTGAATGCACTTATTGTAAGTCGCTTTGGATAAAAGCGTCAGCTAAATGACATGTAATGTAATGTTACCCTTGGCGAAGTGATCTCAGGCGAGGGGCCAGACAGAATGGTTCAAAAGACCCTATGAAAAAATGGAAGAGGGAAGGAGTTAACTCCAGAGGCAGTTGCAGTGTACCGACAGGCTCGAAGGGAAGCAGCCTCTGCCGTGATGGAGGCAAAGCAGCGAGTATGGGAGGAGTTCGGGGTAACTATGGAGAAGGACTTTCGGTCGGCACCAGAGTGCTTCTGAAAGACCATCCGGCACCTCAGGAGGGGGAAACGGGGAACCATCCAAGCTGTGTACAGTAAGGATGGGACCCTGTTGACCGCGAGGTTATCGGGCGGTGGAAGGAAAACTTGGAGGAACTCCTGAATCCAACTACTACGCCCTCTTTGGTAGAGACGGAGCTGGAGGCGGAGGAGGGATCATCGTCAATTTGCCAGTGCCAAAAGAGTGGCACACTGGGGTGGTGGTGGTACCCCTCTTCAAAAAGGGGGACCACAGAGTGTGTGCCAATTACAGGGCTATCACACTACTCAGCCTCCCTGGTAAAGTCTACTCCAAGGGGCTGGAAAGGAGGGTTCGGCCGATAGTAGAACCAAGGATTAAAGAGGAACAATGCGGTTTTCGTCCTGGTTGTGGAACAACAGACCAGCTCTTTACACTTTCCAGGATCATGGAGGGGGCTTGGGAGTATGCTCATCCAGTCTACATGTGTGTTGTGGACTTGTAGAAGGCGTATGACCGGGTCCCCCGAGAGAAAATGTGGGAGGTGCTGCGGGAGTACGGGGTGGGGGGGTCCTTACTTCGGGCCATCCAATCCCTGTACGCCCAAAGTGAGAGCTGTGTTCGGGTGCTCGACAGTAAGTCAAAGGCGTTTCCGGTGGGGGTCGGCCTTCGCCAGGGCTGCGCCTTGTCACCAACAAGGTCTTCATGGACTGAATATTGAGGCGTAGTCGGGAAGAGGAGGGTCTACAGTTCGAGGGATTTGCGGATCTCACCGCTGTTTTTTGCAGATGATGTGGTCCTGATGACTTCTTTTGTCTGTGACCTCCAACTATAACTGGAGCGTTTCGCAGTCGAGTGTGAAGCGGTCGGGATGAGGATTAGCACCTCTGAATCTGAGGCCATGGTTCTCGTCAGGAAACCGATGGGTTTCCTACTCCAGGTAGGGAATGTGTCCTTACCCCAAGTGAAGGAGTTCAGGTACCTCGGGGTCTTGTTCACGAGTGAGTAGAAGATGGAGAGTGAATTTGGTCGGAGAATCGGAGCAGCGGGGGCGGTGTTGCACTCGCTTTACCGCACCGTTATGACGAAAAGAGAGCTGAGCCGGAATCTACCGGTCAATCTTTGTTCCAACCCTCTCCTATGGTCATGAAAGATGGGTCATGACCAAAAGAACTAGGTCATGGGTACAAGCGGCCAAATGGGTTTCCTCAGGAGAGTGTCTGGCGTCTCCCTTAGGAATAGGGTGAGAAGCTCAGCCATTCGCGAGGAGCTCGGAGTAGAGCCGCTGCTCCTTTGCGTCGAAAGGAGCCAGTTGAGGTGGTTTAGGCATCTGGTGAGGATGCCCCCTGGGCGCCTCCCTAGGAGGTGTTCCAGGCACGGCCAGCTGGGGAAGACCCAGGACTAGGTGGAGAAATTATATCTCTGCACTGGCCTGGGAACGCCTTGGGATACCCCAGTCAGAGCTGGTAGATGGGGCCCGGAAAAGGGAAGTTTGGGGTCCCCTGGTGGAGTCGTTATGGATGGATGGATGGATGGATGGATGGATGAATAGTGTACACCAGAATACAGCCATGATTCTGGAGCTATGTAATTAATAAAGTAATGAAGAATCTTGTAAAACCACTGTAATTTTTAAACTGTAATCAATAGAATAATACCTATGTACAGTTATGATTCTATTTAATGTAATGTAATCAACTGGAATGCATGCGCGTAATACTCAGACAACAACTGGTATTAACTGAGAGACATTGAAATCTGAGTTAGTCAGAAGACTTTCACACCTTTCACACCTGCTCTGTATGAATGCCTGTAGGCAACCATTGTTCTCAAGTTCGCTGGTGGAGGCAACAGACAGGCACTGTGTGGTCAACGGGCCCCGTGGCCTGTTGGTTACAGAGACCAGCGGCTTCTCAGCTTTTTACCACAACACCCTTACTTTTATTTCTTTTAATACTTTTGATTTAACTCTTCAACCAAGTTTTTCTTCATTATTTCAACACAACAACAACATAAACTTGTTTACACAGGACCTGAATAGTGGTCTCCATTGTAAAGGTAAAAGAAAAAAATGTATAATGTAAACCCAACCGTCCTCCCTGACATGCTAGCTAAGAAGATTTTTGCAAAATGTGTGAGTCTGTGTAGCTAAATCAATAGAGCCTCATGGGCAATGCACTTCCACTCTAAAATAAAGATATTTTCATATATTCAATATAAGTTTCAAAAAGGGACAGAGAGGAAAGTAAAGAGTAAAAAAAGAGAGACAGACGCTGGCAGGCAGACATGATGGACATTTCTTAGACTATTGGATCCAGAAATGGATTGCTGCGTGATAAAGATGGCAATAATCCTTCTGAGGGGAAAACAAAGATGTAATCTCCTCCTAGGACAGAGCGGTGGAGTGGTGGAGAACGAGCACTTATGAAGACGTAATAGAATCATTGTCTTTGTCTTCTTTAAAAAAACATCCATTTTCGGCATCCGAGACTCCGTATCAGCACACTTCATCTGTTTTTGTGTGTGTGCGTGTATGGAAGTGCACCCCAAAGGCAACAATGTGGGCTGGCTGCAAGGCGGCTCTAAATGAACAGATGGAAGTAATCAACAGATGGTTGATATGGTGTTCATATGTGTGCGTGTGCCCTTAAGACATAAGGGCGGCTGGGTATTTGAGGGTGGTGTCAAAGAGAGAGAGAACAAAATCAATGGAATAGCATTGAACCCCAAATCTATATTTTTTAACTTTTCATTAATAAACAAAAAGACAGTAAGGGGGCGGAGCCAGTCACCATGGTATCTCTACATCTAATTGATTACAAACCCCGTTTTTGGATTGGCTGGAGCGATGCATTCACACAACTATAGAAGCCCATTTAAATTATGAGAGAAAACGTTGTCAAAACACAAACGACACCTCTCTGTAACCGTAGTGGAGCGTAGATGACAACCAGCTACAACCAAAATCTACCATCATTACCGGCTCCCCTCCGGCCGCTCATTGAGACCGATGCGTCCAGCTCGAAGACCAGTTTGGCAAGACAGACTTTTCCCTGTTTGATTTACTGGAGCTGAAGTCACGGCTGTTCCTGTGACGCTGGTCTCCGGTAAGGGACATCAGTCCATCAGCATCACTGTGCTTTTCTGATTAGCAGTAGACAATGTGGTAGTCATACGCTTGCAGTATAATTGCCCACCGCTGAATGCGTGCTGCGACCAGTGCAGGCAGGCAGACGTAACCGCGCCGATGCCACAGGAAGCTAAAGTCAGTGGGAGGCTGCGGTCATGGTGACCTAACACCTGGTCACTAGTCAGCACTTTACGCTTGACAAAAGCAACTTGTTCAACCTCAGTCCTTCTCCACATCACTGGTCCTCGGAGCAGTCTGTAAAATGTTGCTAATGTCTGACATATTATGGCAATAAATGTTTCCTGATTCCGGATTTAAATGCTATATAAATAATGTTAAAGTAAAACATCATAACTTCCGTAAGGTTGTGATGTTACAACTATACAGTAGAGGCAGTAGAGTTGCAGAAGAATTGTTAGTTTTTACATTAAAGCATCAAAACACTTTCCAGTAAAAATCCCAAAGTGCAAGTACATGAACACGAGCAGCAAATGTCTCCTTTATGACCTGTTTGTTAAATGCGAGATGATCGTGACGGGTCTGAGCTGTCGTCCTGATGAACGCAGCAGGGACCCTACTGTGCACTTCTGAACATGACGACGAACATCATGACTCCAAATGTAACTAACTAAGCAAGGAAAGAGATGATTTTAGATAGAAATATCGAACAAAACGTCATGCGTAACCCTCTACTGTAAAATACAGGTCACAAGAGCTGGGCTGTGTTGTTATCCAGCAGATGAAGCATTGAGCTTTGATCCCAGTAACGCTGCCTTCAGCTGAGCGTAGATCCTATTTTGTGTTATCAGAGAGAATCCTTTCTGTTTTATGAAATAAACATGTTGGGGGCGTGTGGGGGCGCGTTTCATCCTCTGCTTCGTATCGAAAGCTTAGACGGATGCGAGGACGCACATCTTGAGTCCACACTGACGAGCAGAAAACATGTCAATAGAGACGGAAACGGGGGAGACAGCAGGCGAGGAGGGAAGGAAGCCCGTTTGCCTCCCTGCACTCTTCTTTTTATCCGTTTTAACAGCTCGGCATTATTTGACAACATTCCCTCGCTGTAACAAAGAACTCCTCCGTCCTCACTGGCCGTACTGGTGATAAAGACTGGCCTCTTTTTGCCTTTCCGTATTCCAGTGGCATTCAAGTTCCACATCGTGAGATTAAACACATACAAATATATTGAGAGGCTCTTCTTACCTTTCATGCCAAACTTGGAGCGTCGTCCGTATTTGTTGATGAGAAGGAAGAGAACCACCAGCATCACACAGGCAAACCCTGCCAGGCCGACTGCTATGGAGACCTTCAGGTGAGACGGAGGCAAACGGAACATTTCAAACAGCTTTAAAAGGAGCAAAGGAGGAGGAAATATTTCTCATGATCGGCTCATCACATTTCTTACACCAGCAAACCTTGTAAACATTGTCTAGTATCAGATTGTCTTTGATACTACTTGATGTTCCTCTGGAATGGAATAGACCATGAAGCAGGGTGGGATTTAGGGCATGGCCATCTTGTGATTGACAGGCTGCTACCGCTGTTTTGTTTACAAATATAAACCGTGTACAGTGTTTTCCACTCATATTGTCTGTGACATTCTGGTCACCTAAAAATGATTGTTCAGCCTTCGCTTCAAACTCCTACTTAGGCATTTAGGTGGTCGTCATATTGTTGTTTTCCACAAAATTCTTACTCTAAAAACCCTTTGGGCATGAGCAGCTCGGCCTGCAGGGACTCGGCTTTGGTCCTGGGGTTGTCGGTTCAAGCCCAGTGCCGACCTGATGGGTTAAACCATCGTGCAGTTGACCTTGAGCAATGCAGCGGAGCGCAAACTGCTCAGGCTGCCTGACTTCGGCCCCCCATCTCTCTGTCATCTGAACAGAAATGCATGTCAACGGGTCCGACGTATGAATGTTGGGCCTACATCCGTGTTTAACAAGAGAATTAAACCCTGAGGGGGATTTAATTAAATACGTATTCTTCTTCACAACGGGATGGATGCTTCTACATTTAATTACCCGTAACAAGAACCATTAGGACCAATTTTACATTTTGTATCCCAATTACTGGTGAGCTACTTTCATATTAGAAGCCAGAATGAAGACTGAGGAGCAGGGGGTGTCACTCGTTTTAGATTTGGGCCAGATACGTCCCACTTCGATCTCAAGGGGGCCAGACCATTAAAAATCATAGGGGGTGGGGCACGGCCGCACGGATTGCATTACATCACATTACGTCACATGTCATTTATCTGACGCTTTTATCCAAAGCGACGTACAATAAGAACATTCAACCATAAGGACACAAACTCAGAAGAACAAGAAACAAGAAAGTGTGATTTCCTCAAATAAGCCAATCTACAACTTGCTACAGATGAGTGGCGTTATAAGTACAATTTAAGTGATAAAATTTGTTAGTCTTTTAATCCGGATGGTCCGGCCGATGGGGGGGTGACACTTAGTAACGCCGTGGGTTTGACACCTGTGCTGCAGAGGTTCGCTAGCAGGACTTTCCATCAAAGTCACACCTCCCGCAGTCATACACGTGATGAACAAAGTCCCCTACACACAAACACTAGCCCACATCGCGCCTTCAAAGCCTCGTCTTCAAAAGTTATCTATTCACAGTCAATTCAAAAAAAGACATGTGATAATGTCTCGTTTAAGACATTTTCCAATTGGAGCTTTTGAGGTCGATCAAAGAAGGACAAGCCAGAAATCCCATTTCAACATTTCAGTCACTCACCCCAAAATGATCCTCCTCAGGCTTGTGCGTCTCTGCAGTGGGGGTTACTGTGGAGTGAACACCAGAATATACACACTGGGTTTGGAAAATCACAACAGTTTGCAGAGCCGCTGCTCCTGCAGAGAATTCATCTCACACAGAAAATAAAGACGACTGTGATCAATAACAATCACAGGGCTGCAGAGAAAAAGAGGCGAGTGACACACGACCCGGAGATGAAAGTCACACAGTGCTGTGGTTAATGGCCAGTTAATAGACTGGACCCAATCCCAAATGTCTTCCTATTGGCAGTCAGATTTGAAATTGAATAAAGGAGATGATAAAAGCGATGACATATTTACAAACTGAGTAACTTAGGCGACATTCTCGAGAGGTTTGAATCTGCACAATGACGGATGAACAGTGAAAGACTCCTAAAATGACAGACGCAAAGCATCAGAATAATTGTAAACTTGTGAAACGTCATGTGAGATATTGCTTGTTTAGCGTTTTGACCACAGACCCCCATTCGTTTGGTACACAAATACAACAATGTATGACTTTATTAGTCGGCTAAGCTTTATTAAGCGGTGTGGCCTCTTCGGCTCAGCTATTAGATGCATTCCATTTAATGGGAGAACCTTCATTTAAAATGGAGCCTGCTATTTATTTACGCATTCAAGATTTATCAGTCTGTGGGATTTTTTGGATGAGGAGTTGTGCAACAGAATAATATCCTATCTATGTGTATAAAATGTCTAATTTACATATGTGGAGGATTTCATGTTGACTTCTTAGCCATCTGATACTGTGCTGGAGTTCTGAGAAGCCTGAAAGAGAATAAAAAACAGCACTTACCATAGTCATAATCTTCTGAGTTCATGCCTGTGGATGATAAAAGAGACCCGGTGAGACCTGCTGCACAGCCTGAGTGTGGAATCTGAGTGTTCCTGTGACGAGCATTTAACCTGGAGACAGAGCGTCGGCTGTGCGGTGTGAGAAGAGCAAAATACCCGAAATAACACCGTCAACGCGCCTCTATCCTGAGTTAAACTTAGTTCTCCACACCTCATTTACACGGAGACTAAATATAAGCTCAATGGCAGCACATCACGCAACGCACACGGCAGCCGACACCGAGCGAGGAGCTTTCTGGCACCACTTCTCAGCCTTTGGGCAAAGCCAGTCAGCAGAGAGGGACATGACGCCATGGTGACCTGGACATCTGACCAACCAAATCGAATCAGGGTGGAGGTTAATGGATCTGCTGGAAGGAAACACGCGGTGCTCATAGGGGCCCGAGAAGATGCTTCCGTGCGTTGGAGGCCCGTTGCCACCAGAAACAGTCGGTTTAAGTTACTAAGTTCATATTGCTTCATCCCGTCTTTGTCTGTGTTAATGTAAATGTTTAGATGCTTCGTGTTTCCCCTCCTGCTCCGTTTGCTCGTCCTCTGCATGCGCATTAAAGCCAGCCGCTGTGTCCCTTATCGTGTCTTTGTTTGGATGTGACGACGCTTCTGCTTGACTGATCACCACTGACGGTATCAGCGGCGCGGGCCTTCTACCCGCCCGGCAACTGGGGCGTCACCCAGCGAGCACGGCCTCACATGATGCGCGACGGACTCGACGCGGCCGCAGGGATCCGACTCACCGTCGAAGGGCTTGTCGATGAAGTGCCCGTACACGCTACTGGTGGCCACTCCCAGGTAGTTGCTGGCCGTCAGGGTGTAGTTGCCGTTGTTGTGGTGCGTCGGGTTCTGGAAGATCAGGCAGCCCTCTATGTAGTCCTGATAAATGTCCATGTCTGGACGCACATACTTGGTGTGGGATATTTCCTAAAACGCAGAGACACCAATTTGTGAAACATCATCTTAGTCAGTAGGTGTAAACTTTTTACTCTTAGTACTTTGAAAGCCATTAGAAACGCCAAATACTGAGATGTCACTAGTAGTAGATTCAAGCATTGCAGAATACGTGAAAACCCGGCCGGTCGGCGCCGCTCTCACTAAGTCAAAATGCTTGGAAAGAGCAGCCTTGAAATATAGGATTTTATGTTTGAATGAAATACATTTAAAAACAGATTGATTGGATGTGCAGATGACACCGACGCACCATGTCTCTGTGGAACCACTGCAGCGTGGGGTGGGGCGACCCTCGGACGGTGAACTCTATGCAGGTGTCATGGCGGCGTTCGGGCTCCTTCAGCTTCACGATGGAGGGAGGAACTGAAGAAGAGACCAGAGGACGAGCAACGCAGTTTGTAATGGAAACACAGGACGACATGAAAGCCTTTCACTGCGCCTGCACTTATTCTGTTGGCCATTACACTGGATGTGATGTGGCAGCACATGAGAGGAAAGGGGAGGAAATGGGAGAGACCTTGATTATCATCGTAACACGGCCGTCTCATCACAATCTGCTTCAATCGATTTGGAGCGTTCCCACGGTAGAGACGCTCGCTGCTGACAGACGGAACGCTTTGTGGATGCAAACATCAACAGTGTCAGCTTCGTTCTCCGGACCACCGTGACGGATCCACACCAGAGAAACACCAGCGCTGTTATTGGGCGTCCCACCACAAATGGAATGGATCCTCCCCAGAGAATGCACGCACACACTTACTCATACGATACATCAGCAGAGATGCCAGGGTGAGTTTAATAAGCACATGTCGGATATCAGACTGTAGTATGGGCATCAGGGAGTAAAAGCCCCCTTGGTGGTGAATAATCATTCAGTCACAGTAATTAGTAAAGGTGCTGACTACACAAGATCTTGCTATTGTCTTTGGTGGAAGAAGGAAATCGAGGGAATTATTTATGCACTAGAGGAGAAACGGAAACAAACGCAGGAACACAAGAGGGAGTGAAATACAAAGAGTGTGACAAAGTCTTCTTAAATCTCTACGTGTCTACACTACGTTTGGTTTCTCAGGCTGTGGAGGTTTGTGTGACGACTATTTTCATTAAATATTAACCAGCTGATTATTTAGTGTCAACATCAGAAACCTGTGCTCCAAATCCAGCTGGTGTTGAATCAGTATTTAGAAAGATGCTTCTGACGCTCAGTTCCCTGTAGTTGCCTCACATGGGTTAAACTAGCAACTTGAGTCCTGAGTCTTTTAACTCCGATGGGGAATATTTATGGCTTTTATGTTGGCAAATCATATCATACCAAAAAACCTCACGTGCTTTTACCCATCCAATGCAAGTGTTAGGAAACAGGAAGTGAACCATTTTAAACCATTGACGCAGCTCGTTTGTTATAGACCATTTTGGGTAATATACAGTACAACAAACACTAAGGGACCAATGGAACCAATGTTAATGTGACAAGACCAAGAATACTGAACCTGTGCCAACATTTGGGCTTTTAAGCTGAAAGAAAGGAATCAAGTTAAAGGTGGAATCCTGCTTCTTCCTCTTCTTGTCGTTTCATGTTTACCTGCCTGCCAGCATACGTATTGTATTTCTGCCTCATGGCCGACCTCTCATCCCTACTAACCGCGTTCCTGCTCGTTTATTACAAGTACATTCATCAATAAACAACCCAGATGCACAGAGAGATGCATGGCTGCATGTGATGAATAAGTCTGACTCATCTGTCCTGCCAATGAAGCAACCGGAGCTTCATATAGTTACCAGTGCTCTGTGACGGGAAAGTTAATAAGCAAATGCGCTGAGCTCATGAAGGCAGTAGGCTCTCATTGCTTGCAGAACAAGCGTACAGTCCAGAGCAACTCAGAACTGTTTCCTCAGAGGCCGAGAGGTTTTAAAATTCACTATGTGTGGGTGGAGCTCGACCTGAGAATAGATTTGTGCATCCAAAAGTATGTTTTAGATTCTCATTCACAGACTTGTCGGATCCCTGGCAGTATTGGGCAGTAATCGTAAGACCTTTTTTGATAACCCGATAATTCCATGGCTGCTTTTAGGTATCGTATTCTACTGTCATTAATCTGCAGTTTCTCTCCTTAGGAAGCTCGTCAGTTTGAATTGTGAATGTTACGCACAATTGTTTCAAACAGAATTCATTCAAAATGGGATGCATGAATGTTTTGATGATATGGATGACAAAGCTGTTGCCATAGTAACCGATAGGCCTGGAGCTGGAAGCCAGTGCATCATTCAATCAGCATCATGACAGGACACTGAATATAGCAATGAAGAATTGATTAACTGCAGAATAGGCAGAACGATCGTCCTCAAAGGGCCAGTGTGTAGGATTTGGCGCCATCTGATGTTCAGGTGGCAGATTGCAACCAAGTAAAACCGAGCTTTATGAGAACTACGGTTACCAACATATATGTACCGTGTTCGTAGGTATCAACAGCTCATTTTTAATGCTGAACATTGGCCCTTGAACTTTCAACGTCAGGCGCTTCACGTTTGAGTATGAGAACAACAGTTCAACACATCTGTGTAATTTGTTCATTAATGCCTTTTTTCCATCTTATGTCTTCATTGGGACACTCAGACCGGATTCTGACTACGTCATTCTGCTTCTAGAAACTAGGAATGAATGTGGACTAATCCACCACTGAAAATAGTTCCCAACAAATTAACAATATGTCACTGTTTGATAAAATTCTGAGCATTTTTCTTTTTTATACAAAATTAATTGAATCGGTAGTGGGATCGACTATCGACTAGCAGATTAGAGCAGTCAGAGGTTATTGAAAGAACACATTTTAAAATATCTATTTTCTCTAAGGGATTTTTTCTTTTAAGTTGGCAGACATTGCTCACGTTTAGCCAAATGGAACAGCAATTACAAGCTACCAAAGTTAAGCTGATGAGTGGTGACCCATAAATAATAAATACAATGTCTTAGAATGTTAGAATGTGCCATGTGATATAAAAACACTATAATGAGAGACGCAATTCAAAAGGTTAAATGAATAATCAGGTTTTCATTGGCCATAATGAGCCTTAACTGTGCTGGGTGGCACATGCGCTCTCCTTTATGATGTACTGTGGGCGCATGGTTTGTTGTGGCCTTTCATTTGGATACTTAATGACACCCGCTCACACAAACAAGCTCCTTTTGTAGGTCACGTGAACGTAAACACGCTGATGCCTGACACGACGCACATACGTGTGTGCTCGTATGTGTGTGTGTGTGTGTGTGCACTCACAGTGAACAGTTAGCTGGACGGAAGCGTTGGTCATGCCCACTACGTTGGTGGCGGTGCAGGTCAGCAGGAAGTTGTTGTCTTCTCGGCTCACATTGACCAGCGTGATGTTGATGGAGTGGATGGTGTTGTTGTCGTAGACTCTTGCCTGGATGAGAGAACAGAACGGCCTGAAAACCTGCCGGGACGTCGTAGCTCACTGTCTCGCCCGCATGTATTGACCATATGGGAAGAAAATGTAATCATTACATTACACGCTGTTTAGCTGACGCTTTTATCCAAAGCGACTTACATTATATTTTTAACCCATGGCTTTTTTTAAACTTTATTTTTTGCCTGGGAAGCAATTAGGGGTTAGGTGTCTTGCTCAGGGACACTTTGACATGGGACATGGAGCAGCCAGGGCTCAAACCACCAACCTTGCAGTTCCCAGCACACCCTCTCTACTCCGTGCGCCACCGTCGACCCCGAATCATGACGTCAGTCTGACTACAGCCACGTTCCCTTGTACTCATGGCATAGAAATTGCCTACATTGGCTACATGTGTCAACATGGCAAATGTGGTACAAACCAACTGTGTATAAACGTTAACGATTGATTTCATGGGCTGTAGATGAAAGAGGTCTTAACTTTCAGGATATGGTCGCTGTCAGGAATGATGGATGTCTTAGTTTTCTCAGAAATGTTTTATTTTTTTATCGGTCTCTCAAAAGATTTGAAAAAAGCGTAATTACATGGACTTATCCCATAGCAGTCGTTTCAGAACAATGGACAGCGCTGTTTGTGGTGTACATGCTTGATCATACAGGGAGCTGTCCATGGTGCTGAAAGCAGAGCAACGCTGTCAACTGCTTTTAGAGTGGAAAATTTACCATTGATCAAATAAATCAAGCAATAAATGCAACACAACAAACTTGCTGGGTGTGTGCCAGTAAATGTGTGTGTGTGTGTGTGTGTGTGTGTGTGTGTGTGTCCGTCCTGCCTACTTCTTGCGCATTGATGGAGTGCAGGCCGTTCACGGGCCAGTCCACCTCGGGCAAAGGGGATCCAGAACCGTTGCAGATTGCCGTCACTTGGTCTCCCTCGACAACAGTGAGGTTGCTGTGGCTGACGCTGATCTCTGGCAGGTCTGTAACACAAGGAGGGGAAATAGAATTCTTCCCAGATTTAAGGCTCCAGTGGGAACCGATGGGCTCGGCACCGAGAGACACAGCCAGACTAGGTTTGGCAAATTATTGGTTTTGCTTTCATTTTGAGTGTGAAAATATAGAATATCCATAACCATTATTCAATCATCCGCAGTCCGAACTCCCAGGTGTGCGTCTGTGCGCTCTCAACTCACCACAACTGCTGATGTTCATATCCTGCAGCAGTATCTTGGTGTCATCGTCGGCACAGTGCAACTGTTGGCTGCTCAGTCCCGCCTCTCCTCTCTGTTGCCATAGCTGCAGCCAACGGATCCCACAGCCGCAGTTGAACACCACCTCCTCCAAGTGACTGCAAGAGGAGAAACAGAAGAAAGAGCATTAGCCGTATTAGCGATGCTATGAATCTTACGTCACGTCTCAACTCCTGAAGAAAGTCCTGGCTGAGCTACAGTGTACCTGATACCTCCAGGGGGCCAATCTACCCCCCCCCCCCCCTCCCCCACAATGAGACAATTGAGTGTGAAAGTGTGGTATCTCCCAGTGCGCCTGAACTGTTCAGGCACAAAGTACACGCTGCTGCTTCAGGCCGGCCGAGGGACTGACAGAAAGGGGATGTGCGCGCAAAGATAAAGTACATCCCAGCACTTCATCCCCCACACAGAACAGGCCTGAAATGAATGGAAGCTCACAGATTGGTGGTTATGTAACCACCCCAGAGTGTGTGCGTGGGGGGGGGTGGTCTTTGAAGAAGTGTACTTTGAGTCAACCGAGCGACTATTCTAAAATACAACCTTCTCGTCCGTCATCAGCACGCATTTCAGATGGACAAATAGATAGTATGGTAAGTATACTTGTTCACCCCCAGGGGGAAATTTGTGTGTAGCAGCAGCAAGTTTCTGACCGAAGGAAATTGTAATAAAAAGCTAGAAAAATAACCCCCTTAAACTTTGCATTTGACGACCTGGTTTGCTGCATGGACAGAAGCCCCCAGTGTCACGTAGGTTAACGTCGTGAAGGCATCACAGTTATCTGTGAAACACATGAAACCTGCTGTGGGTGAGCGTCTGACACAAGGCTAACATTGTGAGGCGGTTGAACCACACGGTAAATGAACGTATGCGTGTGGTTCAAAGTAAGCTGTGGCTGTACATGAAGTGTCTCTAGTAAATAATAAAGACTCCACACAGCGCTTGTCAGAAACACACACCACATGATGATGTTTCCTGCTGAAAAACCACCTCAGCGTCTCCCGTCTTAAACGTTCACCTCACTGAGTCAGCGCAACTTGAAAAGACTTTTTGTTTTATGTTTCCCTTTAGTGCCTAATTCTAGAGGTAATAATGAGAGGGCTTGACAGATACGGGCCATGCGTCATCCAATACTCATATGGAAACAATAAGACCCGGATCGATTTCACCCTGGAACCTGTGACCCTCACGTAGCATTAGCAGCTAGGTGGTGGGCCTCGAGTCCTTGCACCCAGCTATGAATTTAGGTTTCCCTCGGCTTACGCAGTGTAAATATTCAGGGAGAAATAAGAACAGACCACAGAGCCACTGTGTTGTTGCTCTGCACACCTCATGAGTGTGGGCCAATCGCACAAAACGTCCTTGTCTTCAATAGCGATGTGACAGCCAACAAAAACTTTCTTGCGGAAGTAAGACACCCATTTGCGACGTAATATCAGCATTCTGATGGAAATTCTGGGGTGATTTTATAAACTATATCATCACGCCACTTTTTAGAACATATAGAACGGTATCAAAACCGCCTCCTAGATTTTATACTTACTAAGTCGTTTCGAAACCAGTACTTGTATACTTGTACTCAAGTAAAAAGCTTGAGTTGATACTTCTACAGAAGTCTTTTTAAACCCGAGTGTCTCCACTTCTACTTGAGTAATGAATGAGAATACAAAAAGTTTAAAGTCTGCTCCAATGTGCCCCAGTTTGGGAACCATTGCATTACTCATTATCCAAACTATTCATGTGTTAGCTTAGCGATGAAAGCAGCATACTGTGCAGTTTCTACCGTTGTATATAACTAAAAGCCTCTGGAAGCCCAAATCTACAATTTATCCGCATTCCAGTAATTCCAGGTATAGATTTTATACTGTAAAAGCAGTTATTTTATCTTCATATTGTCGACGAGAACAGCGGCGTCCAGGATGAAGGTCCACTGACAGTCGTCCTCCATTTTTACTTGTAATGTTGCGCCTTTGACCGCGGCGAGCCGAAAGACACTTTCCACATGAGAACAAGCCAGCAGAGTCTTTCTCTCCCAAGAATATTTGAGAATGTAACTCATTTGAATCCGGGTTTAATGTTGCGTTTCAGGTTGGAAGGATTACTTCATGGGAGATTTGTGACACCTTGTATCTAAGATTCATGGACTCGTGGCGGACGGCGAGTAGAAAATCATGTGATTTCTGATCAGTGAAACAAATGAAGGTGTATGTAATGTAATTCATCATACACTCGTCAAACATGAAAGCAAACAATGTTTTTCACAGCAGGGATCCAAACTGGTACGTGGCAGCAAAACCAAACACCTTAATCTCCATGTTCAATATTATAACGAGCAAGTGAAAATTCATTGATTTGTATTATTTTATTTTCATTGAAATGTTTTATCTTTGCTAAATAAATGTGTCAGCATCCTGTCAGCTAAATACTTTGATGTTGTGACGTTAGTTGAGTTTTGTCAGACTTCAGTGAGTACTACACAACTACACAAACACACGCACACAGAGCAGAGGCGAGACGTGAGGGACGTCTACCTGCTGTCGGTGGGTCTGCCGGGGGGAAGGACCGAGAGTAATGAACATTCGTTGATCTGAGCCCCGTGCTGATTGTGTACACACACACAAAGTCCTCTGCTTAGACCCAATCTTCAGATCAATAGGTGCATTATTACAGCCTCAGCCACCGCTCTGATGAATTGAACAAACTGGATTTGTCTCCAGAGGGGAAAAAAGCCTCCGGACTGGAATGCAGAAAGAGTACAAAGAAACAAACTGTGACGGAGCCAAAGAACAAATACGAGAACATCCTGAAAAACTTTCCCAATGAGCCGGGAAGCTAAAAAGCTGGAAATGTTTCCAGTTTCGCAGCGCGGATGTGCATTAGCACAGATACGCTGTGTTGGAAGAATAAAGATATTCATGGTTAATGTTAACGCTGAATGTGTAGAGGAACCTCTGTCAGTCGCCTCTACCAGTGAAGCAGTGTGTATGTCAGGGACTTTTATTGTGATAGGACAGAGCAAAGCGCCGTTATAGTCAATGCGCTAGAGAATAAAGAGTTTGCTATAAGACTATAAGCAACGCTAAAAGAGAACCAATCTAAAAGACAAGGGAGGATTTTTCTCCACAATCCACATTTACTTCATCATGATATAATAAAGTAAAAATAAATGTGCCACTTTGCATCATCTAAAACCGACAGAAAAAAAGTCTTAAGGCAAAATTGATAAAAAAAGTTCGTCATGGCATGTCATGGCAACGCCATCGAGCCGTGAGCCGATCCGCCGTGTCTGACGTCACTCGTGACACTTTTAATCAAACGCAACAGCTCTCTAAATTTCACGTGGATCAAATGGCCTCGCAGGTTTCACACGTGTGGACATTTGACTTAATTTGCTCAGTTTCTTTATGAAGTTAAACCCGGAGTAGTAGAGCACACGTGTGCACACACCTCGCAGCACGCACGAGGTCCAGATTAAAGTCTTTGATTGGGAAACATTTCCAGCTTCGCCGTCATGGCCGACAGCAGCATCCAGGCACTCGCGCCTCACACCTTTACTTGGGCTCTTCTCGAGGTGTTGCCGCTGATGAAAAGTGGAATCTCTGACGGAACAAAGTACGGCGAGTAATTCTTCTCAGGGTCTCAGTGTTCCTGTCTGCTGGCTTGTGTTCATCAGAGTGATAAGAAGCGGTATTATAAGAGAAAGGGAAGGGAGGAAGGCTTGAGGGCTGCTGCTCAAAGACATCAGAGAGCCCTGCTTGCTTGTTACTCGTCCTCAGCATCGCTTCTTGTTTCCCACCAAGTGGGTCCACTTGTGAAAATGACGAGGCCGAAAACAAACGGGCAAGTATGCTAAGAGCTCACCTACGTGTTTTATTCTACTTCTTTTCTCTCATAACGGCCCTTAAAAACTCAAATGAAAGTAAATATTTAAAAGAAGAATAAATATGAATACATTAGAAGGCCCTGCACTCAGCTGCAGTAGGAAAATCCACGGACTGTGTCGGAGAAAAGGACGAAGTCACCTTGAAGTCCCCGTTGGTTTGTGGAATGACATCATCAAGCCTTGACTTTAGTTGTTGGTCATCGGCAACTTAATGTCTGGTACCGTCGTGGTTTTTGGACCAAGAAGGGACACGAGAGGGTCGAGCTGAGTGGAACAGAACGCTAACCAAGATATTTAGGTGCTCATGTAAAAATGAACTTTTAGTGCAATGAGACTGAGAAAGGAGCCCGGCGCTGAAGCAGCCTGCTTTATGCGGCATTTGGCTCTAAATTGGACTTTGATTTTGTAAATTAAGATCAGGATGTATTGAAGAAGGTTTTAAAGTAGAGATTCAGACATTAGACTGAAACGGTTGGCCTTCATTAGTGTGTCTGAGGCGCTGCGTGGAACCACTGGATCCATTATAGAGGCGTTATCTCTAGGAGGGAGATAAGCTGATCTGATATCCTTACTTTGATAACAAAATCAGTTCCGCACCCCTCTACAAATTATGAACAGTTAATCTATTGATCTCATCTGAGCGAGGCTTCATTATCCGTGAGTGGGTCAGTCGGTGTCACAATGCTGGGGTCAGGAAATAGGAAACAGCGTAGCGATGAGACCGCATGAACATCATAACCATAAATGATCCAACGTTTGATCAAACAAGCTCCATCACCTTCAGCAGCACCAACGCTAACACAAAATATATTACATGACATATTGTCATGCATTGTACAAAGATGAACAGGTATTACTATAATTATAATACACAAAAATATGTTAGTGACTGACCAGCAATTCGTTTTAGATATTCATAAAAATGTTGTGTTGAGATTGTTGCTATGAATCATTATGAAGGCGAGATTGACACTGTGATGCACGGTCCCATCAGCAGATGTTCATAATGAATTGTTGACATGTGAAAAGTAATAATCTACAGCACCAGTTACAATAGCAAAGGTATTCCTCATTGTAAAGATGTTATAGTACTATTAAACAGTGGATTAATAATAATAAGATTATGCTTTTTAATTTCTCATGTAAAGTGAGATTGAGTGATTTGAAGCGATGCAGAAAATGAGTCGCTGTACGGAGCAGAGAAAACCGTCGCTGGGT